ATAGAGATTCTCTACCTCTCAGAATCACTGTAGGCATCAAAAGGAAGCACTTTGTGAAATTGCAACTTCTATGCTAGGATAAGACATGGTGGCTTTCGAACATTTTAAGAAGTCTGATGCCTTTGGAATTAATTGGTAGAGACTGTCATCGGCCTATTGGGCAGAGCCAGATCAGACCCCAGTGGTCCATATACCCTTGAGCATGGCTTCTTGGGTTTAGGCTCATACATCTGGGTTGAAATTCCAGCTGTTTCACCTGCAGCTGTGTGACCTAAAGAAAGGAACTGCTTGAGACTCAGTTTCCTCATTTGGAAAATGGTGTGGATGATAATAATACACAGGGTCATTGTAAAGATAAGGTGTGACACAGTGATCGTAGATGACCTCCATAACTAACTCTCTCACCTTTCCTTTTTTCCAGAATGTTCAAGGGCACTGTTTCTTCCAGGTAGCTGAGGACGACCCAAGTTTTTATTAAATTATAAATTAGTTCTTCCTTTTGGAGCCAATTTATGCCTAGGAACTGCCTACCAGGTGTATGAAATGGGTTTGGTTGCAGATAGAGTGATTGCAGGCACAGTTTAAGCAGGAAAAGTTTGTGTGATCAATTTATAATTTTTTTATCCAATTCAACATGTGTAGTTGTAAGTTGTTATTACTAACAAAAAATAGTATTTGTTATTATTTTTGCATGTTCACATACACCAGGTTAAGTGCTTTATATACATGAGTTTATAAAGCATCCTAACAATTCTGCAAAGGACCCGTTCTCTTTCCCATTGTACCTTAAAGAGCAGGACTTGGAACCTAATGCACGCAGCCCGCGGGCCAGGAAGTGGGGGAACCTAACTTCACATCCTGGTTTGCTTCAATGCACACTCTGCCCCTTGGTGGTGTTGAGAGTGATTTGCATTGAGGAGCTGATACCATTCCCACTGACAGAGGAGATGGGGGAATGAATATATGTGTTTGTTCTAGCTCCCACAGCCAGCGAGGGATAGAGCCAACACTGGAACTCCGGTTTCTGCCCCCAAAGCTGAGGAGTTGGGTATCCTTCCTCCCACAGTACCAACTGTTCCAGTGCTGAAGTTGGTCTCTTTTTTTTTTTTTTTAAGAGAGAGAGAGAGACAGCACAGGAGGAGGGAGGGGCGTGAAGGGAGTTGGACAGAGGGAGAGGATGAGAGAGAATTTTAAGGAGGTTCCACACTCAGGGGGGAGCCCCACAGAGGGCTTGATCTCACGACCCTGAGATCATGATCTGAGCCGAAATCAAGAGTCAGACACTTAACCGGCTGAGCCACCAAGGCACCACTGAAGTTGGTCTTTTTATTCATCCATTCATTTAACAGTAGAGAGAGTCTGATTTACAGATCAGTGATGGCTACTAGATTATGCTTCCTATCATTCCTCCAGCACCTTCTACAGATTGATTAATTGGCTAAAAAAAAATTTTGAAGCATTGAAATCAAGAGAAAAATTCTCAGGGTTTTCATGTTTTACCATCTATCAAGCACTCTCCTCTTTAATGGTTCAAATAAAAGAAATAACATCTTCAATTTTTTTGCAAGTTGATTGTTGTGTTATTGGTCCCCAGCTTGACATACAACTGCAAAAACTAATAATAATTAATGCTTTCTTTACTTAAAAGAAATCTTAGATGGAAGCCTGCCATGAGAAACAGATGAGAGCAAAGCTGCCTTATTTGAAGGGGGAAGATGCGGCAGGTTCAAAGACACCTCTGTGGTTTCCTGGGACTCTTAGAAGCGTCCTGGGACAACATGGAGCCATAGAGCAAGAAAGCCTTTGAGCTTTGTCCATTAATTCAGTAAATACTTTTGAGCACTGACTATACCTACGCGCTCAGCGTTGTGCTACGGTCTGGGCATGTGGAAATAAAAGATAGTAAGTACCCCTGCCCTCCAGAGGCTCAGAGTTTGTGGGGAGGAAAGAGAGAGTACACATATGTAGAATGCAAGTGATCTCTAGTCATATTCTCTTTATTTGTGGCTGATGAGGCACAGCAAAGCATCCCTAGGGCTCTGCCTTGGAAGAAGTGAACAAGACTTGTAACGCAGAGCAGAATTCCTTCATTTTAGCTTCAAGGATGCTCACAGGTCCTCCCCTCCAGAGCTGATCTTGAAACACATGGTGTGTGTTTGCAGTTCTGTACGACCATCGGGTCGCCTTTCCAAGGAGGATCAATACCTGTAAATTATTCATTACTTTTACACTGCTTATTCCTATCTTTCATTTAAGTCAAATCCCAGACATAACAAAAAGAAAGGAAAAAAAAACAGTGCAATAAGGAAATTTTGTCTTATTATGATTTTTGTTTTGCAGAAGAAAATAAAAAATCTAAATGCCTTTTCATTAAGAGGTTCCAATGCATTCCCTGTATCGTGTTAATTACCTCATGGCATGAGCACAGTGTGCTGTTCAGTAGTCTCTTACAATTAGTTGGCAAAGCATTTTAACATCCATTACCTCCTTTGGGACTCACAAAGGCTCCATGAGTGAGGCAATCTGCAAGAGCTTTATTTTATAGCTCTTGAAACTCAGGGTCAGACCAAGCTATTTGCCCAAGATCACATGCCATAGACAGTACCTATGTTACAAAGAGGGTGAGGGGTAAAGACACAATCCCAGTTTGGTCCTAGAATCCTGCTTACCAGCTATGTGACCACAAGCTTTTACTTCCTTTTACTTCTCGGCTGCAGTTCCTTCAGATGTGATGAGCAACCAAGTCATCCTTCACCTGTGCCAGACGCTTTCTCAACTCTCCGTTCATCTGTTCACTTAATCCTGACAGTGCTATTATTATTTGCATTTTATAGATGGAAGTTAAGTAATTTGCTGAAGGTCATAGAGCTAGGAAGTGGCAGAGCAAGATGTACACTCGGGTAGTCTGGCACTAGAGTCCATATTAAGCCCTACACTGTAGGGGTAATGGGAAGAAGGTAGATTGGGACTGATGATTGTACCAGTCAGCATGGTCCTGGTTATGCTGAAGTAACAAACATCCTCCCAAATCTCAGTGGCTTAAAACAGAAAAGAGTGGGGTGCCTGGGTGGCTCAGATGGTTAAGTGTCTGCCTTTGGCTCAGGTCATGATCCCAGGGTCCTGGGATAGAGTCCCACATCGGGCTCCCTGCTAGGCGGGGAGCCTGCTTCTCCTTCTGCCTCTGCCTCTCTCTCTCTCTCTCTCTCATGAATAATAATAATAAAAAAAAACAGAAAAGAGTTATTTTTCACTCATATTTCCTGTCCCAACCCTATGATAGGTTTGGGGGGAGTGGCAAGGTACCACTAGACATCGTCCTCATTCAAGAACCCCAATTTCGAACTCTCTCCCAAGTGTCCTTGAGTGACAATTGACACAGAAGGAAGGGGGGAAAAGAGAGAGAGAGTGTGTGATTTTTCAGGCTCTTAAAGCTTCTGCCCAGAAGCAAATCATACATGTCACTTTGTTCACATTTTATTGGCCAAGACAACATGAAATATACAGGAGAGTGCAATCTTGCCACGTGCTTGGTATTGTAGTACTTGACCCAGCCAGCCGACAACACAGATGACCTCTCCCAGCGACCTGCCCCACACACATTCACTGGGTGACTGTGTCAGAGCTGAAATGCCCCTCTCAGCTGCTGGATGCTATTTCTCCTCTTGCCTTGTTAAAATTTTCCACATTGAATAGAAGAGGAATGGTGATTAAAAAAAAAATTTTTTCCACATGGCTTCTACTATTTGCTTCATTAGTGGATGAAGGGTACTATATAATTTTAACATAAAAGTTAAAACATTGGCCCAGAAACTAGAATCTTCACCAGGGACAAGAATTCTTTCTTTAGCCACAGACATTCTCCCATGACTGCCTTCCTAGTATCTGATTTATTTCAATATTTCTATATTTTCAACCCACTGCAATTTTGCTTTCTTATTTAAATAACTTTGTATTATCTTACCACTTGTGAGGAACAGTGAAGACAGAGATTTGCATTTTGTACATGGAATCATTCATTCATTTATTCTTTCAAATAAAGCCTGGGGGAAAGGGGTCATGTTTTTAAGCCCAACTATTGACAAGGCTTGAATCTCCACGCATGATTTCAAGGGTTGACTGTATTATGTTCTGCCATTTGAATTTCTTTCTATGAAAACAACATCATTTAACTCAAACTAAAATTGTTTGAACTGCTCTGAAAGTGAAGAAGGGATGTGGGTGCCTGCAGAAACCTTCCAACAGTAGAAGTCCTTTCTTTCTTCAAGAAGCTTCCTCCATGCTTACAATCTGGCATGGACCCTGTGAAGTCAATGAGGGCAACCCATATATCAAATTTGGGTAAAGATTTTTAAAGAGCTATAAATGGAGGTTTTAACATTTTCTTCCTACATGCCATGGATGAACCTGCTCAGCCCTGGGACGCAAGCACTCTGTTCTGGAGTCCACTGCTCTCGGGGTAGGAGGTCAGCAAAGAGTCTTCAATGAGGGAGTGATGGAGTGACGAGGTCACATTTGTGTTTGTGATAGCCTGGCAGAACATGGGCTGGAAGAAGTTCAGCCTGGAGCAGGGCCCCCAGACTGAAACCTGCTGAACTGGAGTGTTGATGGAGAGAGAAGGAAACAGAATGAAAATGAAAATACTTGTCTTGGAAATGGAGTATGCCATGGAGGGCAGAATCTATAGTCAATCCCAGGTTTATGCACTAGTGGACAGAGAAAGATGTTGATGCCATTCTCTGAGACAGGTTGTATAGCATGAGCAGGTTTGGGGAGAAGGGTGATAAGGACACTTAAAATTTCAGGTAGAAGGGTAGGGGAGCTCAGGGGAGCAAGAAATTCCTTCCTGTTACCAGAAAAATCTAAGAAGGCTTCATGGAAGAGGTGGCATATGAACGGGCAGGAGTTGAACTTACGGAGTTGGGAAGAACTGGGCTGCCAGCAAAGCCAAGAGTGTCCACTCTGGCCTTATGCATGTGTCTCCATTTCACCTATGTCAACAGGTATGTGAGGTCAAGGACGAAGCATGATGTGGACATGCGGATTGGAATCCACTCGGGCTCAGTGCTGTGTGGGGTGTTGGGCCTGCGGAAGTGGCAGTTTGATGTCTGGTCCTGGGATGTGGACATTGCAAACAAACTCGAATCTGGAGGAATCCCTGGGTAAGTCAAAGCAAAGCCGTCTTCTTGTTTAACCCTCGTCGTTTTGCTCACTTTGTGACAGTTGGTTTCCTTTGTGCAGAATTCAGAGGTATTGATCTATAAGAAGCAGTTGTTTAGGAGGAGACAGGACATTAAAACGTCATACAAATATTGGCCTCAAAAGTCTAGTGAAATTCATCACAGGCAGTGAAGATGGTGGGACGGCAGGCAGGTGTTCAGGACCCAGCCCTGCAAAACATTGGTTTCCAGACTTGACTCCCATTCGAATCAACAGAGGAACATTTTAAAACCACTGGTGTCCAGACCCATGTCAGTACATATAAAGCAGAATCTGTACAGAGTCTATGACTTCTTAAAGCAATTCTCATGGGCAGTCAGTGGTAAGACCTCCTCACCTTCTATATGACCTTACCTACCTTGAAAACTCAGCTCTCTGAATTTGGCTGGCAAGACCAGTGGGTATAGAATCCCCAGTGGTACTAGTGGCCTGGAAGGGTTCACTGAACCCTGAAAAGTAGTAGTGAGATTCTGCTTATGCAGATTGGGCCTAATAAGATTTTGGATATACGTGAACCAGTAAGTTGTACTGAGTTCTTGCACATACTTCTCTCTAACAGATGATAAATATTAGATGATAGATGATAGATGATAGACAGATAGATGATAGATAGATAGATAGACCAAGAGGCAGACAGAAAGCTTAGATAGACAGAACATGTACACATATTCCTTTCCCTACGCCTCATCCCCAACCCTACCTTTGGAGTCAGAGTTCTCTGGTGTCTGCCATCATTCCTTGTTAATTATATTTAATATCAGGTAATACAGTATCATGGGAAATAAACTGTAGGAGGTGATATCAGAGAAACTAGGATTTCCACTCTGCCCCGTACTAAGCTCTGTTACCTTAGCAAGTCATGTAAAACACACATAGCACCTGGCATGTGATTTTAGCACAGACTTGGCTTTTGTTGCTATGTCTGCATGATCTCAGGCCAATACTTAACTTCTCTGAGTCTCACTATAAAAAGAGAGATGATAATACTGATATGGTACCTTGTGATTTTATGTCCCTTCTCCATGAGGGTTTGTTTTCTCATCTGCCAAATGGGCACAGTCCACCTCACAGATTTTGTCTGAGGCTATGTCGGGCAGTGGGTGTGAAGCGCTTTGTAAACCATGCAGTGATGTCCATCCTTTTAAGGGAGCCCTCACTGCCTTTGATGGTCACCACTCCTTGCCATGCAGGCTTGGAACTAAATTAAGCCTAACATGTCACCACTGGGTTTCTCAAATCCTTACATTCTCTGGGATTTTCCTACAATAACTACCTGCTGGATTCAAACAAACCAGACAGCTAATCCCATCTATGTATATGTCTTAAAAGCGTAGCTGCATGAAGAGTTGCCGTATGCTTGGTAAATTCCCTTTGCAAACCTCAGAACACAGCTTTGTGGGTGTGTGACATAATTTTTGGTCTTCTGGAGGCCAGTTGAACTAATGTTCTCAATCACACCAAGAAACACAGGAGTGACTGAGTTTAAATCTGATGATGTATTTGAATGGTGGATTTACTACTTACCAGTTATAGAGGCTGGGGCAAGTTGCTGAATCTTCCTGCCTGGTTTCTTCACCGTAAAGTTGGGCTGAGAATGCTTTCGATCTCAAGAACTTGGCTTCCAATAAGATAGTACTTAGTCTTCTGTACATTATCCAGGTCTGCTGAGGCGTAGGATGTTGCCCATGTGCAGAAATGTAGTAAAACCAAGACGTGTCTCCAAATCCTCCATGGTTTGAAATTGTTGGGTTTTATTTGCTTTTCAAATGTCTACTTCCTTTTCCTGTCCATCAAGACATATAGGAATAAACTCAGCTTACTTTTCCTTTCAGTGAGAATTAGCCCCCAATTCCAAACATGTATTGAGTACCTACCACGCACTCACAAGTCAGCTAACCACCATCAATATGTTACATCGTTTGATCTTATGACACTCCACATAGTAAATACAGACATACCTTAGAGATATTGTAGGTTCAGTTCCAGACCCTCCACAATAAAGTGCAAATTGCAATAAAACGAGTCAAATGAATATTTTGGTTTTCTAGAGCCTGTCACAGCTATGTTTACACTCTACTGTAGTCTCTTAAGTGTGCAGTACCATTATGTTTTAAGAAACAATGTGCACTAAAAAATGTGAACCATCATCTGAGCTTTCAGCAAGTCCTAATTACTGATCACAGATCAGCATCACAAATCCAGTAATAATGAAACTGGTTGAAATATCGTGAGAATTACCGAAATGTGACACAGAGAACCGATGTGAGGAGATGCTGTTGGAGAAATGACGCTGATAAATTTGCTCAATGCAGGGTTGCCCCAGACTTTCAACTGGCAAAAGATGAAATATCTGCAAAGCGCAGTAAAGCAAAGAGTACTGAAAGCAGGTGTACCAGTCTTAGCTTTCTTGTGTTCATAAGGAAACTGAGGCTCAAAGATATTAAAGATGTCACATAAAAACAGCTTGTAAGTGCCTCACTATGCATCACTGCTAAATCACTATACTCTCTAATGTATCTAACTTGCTCATGACTGTCTTCTTATTGTGACTGTCTGGGCCCCCACTGTGTCCCCAGAGGCTAGCACGATGCATAGAACAGAAGAAGAGAGAGGTGTACAACTCCATGGCATAATGGTTAGTACCCTGACCCTGAGGTCATGCAGAATTGGATGAAAATCCTTTCTCTGCCATGGACACCGGCCATGTGTTCCCAAACAAGCAGGGATTCTCAAATTTTGGCATGCATCTGAATCACCTGAGGGCTTGTTAACCCATAGGTAGCTGGGCCCCACCCTTGGGGTTTCTGATCCATATGTCTGGAGAGATCTAAGAATAGGCCTTCCTATTCTTAATTGCAGGAAACAAACTGAGGGTTGCTGGAGTGGGGGGTGGGGTGTGAGGGATGGGGTGACTGGGTGATAGACACTGGGGAGGGTATGTGCTCTGGTAAG